GACCCTACCATTGTTGGAACTTCTGACAAGATTGAATGCATGCCTATCACTTAGCTAGCCATGAAGCCGAGTAGCTCAACTCAAGCCGGGCCCCATTCTATAAAAGTGCGCACTTTGGATGATAGTAAGGATGTGCGGGGAGCTAGCCATGAGCCCAAGGGTAGGGTAGTCCTGATCGTCCTAGCAGCTGGTTGTCCCTGATTGTGTGGCGTTGGTCGAACCTACGAAATGTGTACCTGAGTTGTACCAAAGGTGACCTAAGGTGATCGTTGATATGGTCTGCCTGGGTTTGTGTTAGGAATAAATTCCTAGCTGGTTGAAATCGATTCGAAACGCCGTCTCTCCCAGATAGTGAGAAACTTGGCTAGCTCCAACATCGTAGTAATTGTATTATGGAAGGTGATGGTTCGGATAAACATGGAATTACTCCACCGGCTATGGTTACTATTGTATGCTCTTAAAATGATATACCATATGTTTGGCACAGGATAGTTGCTAATCCAGAGATGAATAGCTATAATTAACTTGATGACCTAAGTACAATAGTCTAACTGAGTTAATCGCTTTTTATGCAAAAATGTTATCAAGCCACCTCCACTTATAAAGCCTTACATAATCCTTGGAGTCAATTTATTTCTGATTTATGATGGGTAAGTCTAGCTGAGTACCTTCTCGTACTCAGGGTTTTATTCCCATTGTTGTAGATGGTACCGTCTATCATGGCTATTACAAGAACTGCTTCTATCCCACCATGGATGAGAAGTGAGCCTTGGGTAGGCATCTTAATAATCCTTCTTATATGCTTTTGTGGATTGTGATCATGAGTTGGCACTGTATTTGAACTATGTTGACAAATGTTAGTTTCGAACTTAATTTCATTCCGCTACTATCTATCCAACTTGGTTTGTAATAACTCTATTCGTACTCTGATGAATGAACTGTATCTGTGAACTTTATATAATATGTGACATGTATGTTGAATCATGTACGATCTTGGTTGTATGTGGATCGTTTGTCGAGACCCGTCGTGGTACTCAACATACTACCGGGTTTATATGGGCTCAAGTGTGATAGTGCGACTGCTTGCAGGTTGCCATTGTACTTGTGCTCTTATAAATTGGTCAGTTCTGCGACAACATGGCCGAATCAAAAAACGAAACGTGGACGGACAGTACCGTGGCACGTGGTCAAATACGAAATAGACACGTGGACCAATAAAAATACAACACATGGTCCAATGAAGAAATGACACGTGACCCAACTACAACACGGCATGTGTGCCAATAGAAAATAGACATGTGGAACAATAGGGCCCGACACGTGGTCCATTTAGAACCAGAAACGTTCAAGAACTAGAGATGGCCACGTTGTCCAATAACAAGGTGATACTTACCTAAACCATCTTTAATGCAACCGGCTATAGCAGGTACACGTGGAAAGCATGTCCAACGGAAGAAACCACCAGCGTGGATGCCCCTCTACCACACATGCCAAAGCAATTCTATGACGTTTAGTTTTCATCATAGATCTATCCACATCTATGATGAATTTCTAAAATCATCGTAGAATATCAAGAATGACGCGACTTCTATGATAAACCGTTTTTCATCATAAATTCGTCATAAAACTAAAATTATGATGAATTTGTCTCCTTCAATGATGAAAGTTGTTCGTCATAGAACTGTATATTCCTAGTAGTGTGCTGGACCACTCGAGTAGAAGCATGACCTAATCTATGGTGCCACAAGTACGCGTAGGGCTTAGCGGTGCTGAGCACTTGCTTATTCTGGACTCCCTTCAGAGGGTGAAGACCCTCTTCACATCCGCCTTGGAGGAGCGTCCTCCTCGTTTCCGGATCCTTAATAGAAAAATGATCAGGGTGAAATTCGAAAAAGACATTATTGTCACGTGTAAGATGATTAATAGATAACAAACTTTTGTTGGCTTGAGGAACATGGAGAACACGATTTAGATGAAGAGTACTAGTAGGGGAATGCAAAATACTAGATCCAATATGTCGTACCTCCATACCTGATCCGCTGGTAGTGTGAACTTGGTCATGGCCGCCATACTTCTCACGAGCAGTGAGCTTCTCTAGTTCACTAGTCACATGATCCGTCGCACAGGTATCCATGTACTAGTTTGTATCTATCTCGTAGGAGGTGGCTGATGCAGTGCTCTTCTATGGCCGGCCTATAAATGTAGCGTCAAACCTCTTGAAACAACGAAGCACGGTTGGCCCTCCTTGTTGCAGAGCTGGTAGATGACTCTAGATGTGGCGCCGCCCTGACCACGGCTGCCACCGCGACCACCAGTCTTCTAGCCATGCCCACCGCTATGGCTGCCACCACGGCCACCCGATGGACCACCACCGTGACCACCTCTGGTGGCCATGTTCACAGAGGAGTTGGATCCCCCAACATGAAGGAGCTCGATGCGCTACTCAAAACTCATGAGCTGAGTATAGAGCTCGCCCATCGTGATGGGCTCGACCCTTGCCACAATAGTAGACACTACAGGGATGTAGTCGACATCGAGACCAGTCAGAATGTATGTTCATCCTCAAGGCGCCTGCCTACAAATGCCATTTCATCTGCAAGGCCCTTCATTTTGGTGAAATATTTGCTGATGGAGGACGCCCCTTTAGATGCCGTCGCAAGTGTCATCCTTGTGCTAATAATTCTAGCACGACACTGAGATGCAAACATCTCCTCAATCGCGGCCCAAGCTACCGCAGCAGATTCAGCCGACGAGATTTGACCAAGGATTTCCTTGGACAGTGAGGACAAGATGAAACTGAGGGCCTGCTAGTCCTTGGCAATCCATGGATCATAATCTAGGTTAGGTTTGGGTTCGGCCTTTTTGTCATCACCGGCATCGAGAAATGGTGAGGGCGGTTTGGTGGTGGGGCTAATGAAGCTTGCGAGTTGGGCGCCCTTGATGGCAGAAAGGTCTTGTGCCTTCCACAGAGGATGGTTGCTGCGAGTGAGCTTCTCGCTCATGTAGAAGCCGATTGATGGAGCAGCAGGCGCTGCGGAGGAGGAAGAGGGGAACCTGTGGAACGCCATGGGAAGTTTCCATGAGGATAAGGGCTCTGATACCATGTGAAAGTGGAGGGAATGAGATGCCTTCCCTAGGCTCTCGGTTATATGTTAAATATGTCAAGAACAGCCCCATGGCGTGGCTTGTACAAGGGTCAAAGATTACAACAACTTAGACTACAACCAAGATACTAACTAACCTCCTATCTTAGATTACAAGCCAAGTAACAACATTGATAATGGCGTGTGGCCCATAGACTATCGTCTATCTTAACAGTAGTATATTTTTTGGGTAACAAATCGACACATGTACATACTTATATTCTACTTTTATTAGTCCTCCGTTGACTAGATTATTTGGTCCTGTGTATGAAATTCTAGCGCACAATTGGACATGCGGCCCACACCTGCCCACGATATCCCTCTCACATATGAAAGACCTCTCAATATGTATGGTCACAACTAGCCAGCTGGGCAGGACAGATTCCCCAACTCTTGTGTCCCAGTTGCTGTGGTGTCGACTTTCTGATACCCTACAGCTAGTACAAGTGTTCAACCAGGCAAGGATTTGATTTGCCCTCCGCACTTGCAGTTTACAGGATCAATCATAGATTTTTGGACTGATGAACAGGGACAGTCTGACTCATATATGTATGCATGGAAAATCTACTTTGAATTTCTCACATTTTAAATTTGAATTTTTTGAACAACATCAGATGGAAAAACGACCAAAACCAAAGTTGTGTATCTCAAAAGGTTATGCAACTATGTAGTTGACAACTTTTCATTTGAAATCATCTATACAGGGAAAATCTACGTTTCAATTTCTCACATTTGAAATTCAAATATTTCAAACGACCTCGGATGGAGAAAGAACCAAAACAAAAGTTGTAGATCTCAAAAAAGTTATGAAACTTTGTAGTTGATAACTTTTTTATTTGAATTTGTTTAGAATCCTGAATACTTATGTGAAAATCAGATGAAGATAAAATGAGGAGGACGGTAATCCCATATAGATACAAGTGTGTCATGTTTGGAGTGGTTAGGGGATGAACACGCAAGGTCTGAGGTCGCACACGTTTTTCACGTGAATAGTTGCTGGACTTGCTATGGTGCGCGTGTGGCTGTCAGGTCTCCCGAGATTGAGTTTTTTTTCTATTTATTGGGCCCAAATTTCTTATTTATGGACAATAATTTCTAGAGGCATCTGGAAATACAGCAAATCAATTTCTAGAGGTGGCTGGAGAACCGTCTCAATAAATCGTTCATTTGTAGAGACGAAAGAGCAAAGGCGGCTGGGCCAACCTTTGAAGAGATTTTCTGTAGTAGTGACAAATAATAAATAGTTAAAAACATATATTTAACTAACAACTATAGCACAGGTGTTATATGACTCATGTAATAGTGATATTTTGAATATCATAGTGGTAGTATATTTTTTGGGTAACAACACGACACATGTACATACTTATATTCTACGTTTATTAGTGCAACATTGACTAGATTGCTCGGTCCTGATCGCGATTTTGTCTGTGCTGTGATATGATCCGTACATCAGCCTCACTGCTACTTTGCCTCTACATCAGTTATTAATTGTCTTTTCCCTATATTCAAAGTCCTCCTGTGTTGTTATCAATCTTGATAAATTTCCACGATGTCCCTCTCGTAAATGTAGTACCTCTCAATAAGTATGGTCACAACTGGCTGGCTGGGCAGGATAGATTCCCCAACTCTTGTTTCTGAGTTGCTGTGGTGTCAACTTTCTGAGACCCTACAGTTAGTGCAAGTGTTCAACCATGCGAGGTTTTGATTGCTCTCTTTACAGGATCAATCATAGATTTTAGACTGATGAACAAGGACAATCTGACTCATATATGTATGCAATATTTTGCTTTCTTTCCGTGCATGCAGGACAACCGATTCTACAGGTTGCTTTGATCAGTCTTAATGGCAGCAGAAATGGTCGGTTCTGCGGTGGCCCAGGAGGCTGTTAATGAAATCTTATCAAGAATCAAAGAGGGTTATGCCGAGAAGTCAGATGCAAAGGAGCACATAGAGAGGATGGAGATGGCGCACATCAAGCTAGAAGCCGCCATTGAGGCATCCAACAAGTGGAACATCACTAGCCCGCCACTACTGCGCTGGAGGAGGAAGCTCAAGCGTGCAACACAGGAGTGCGACCACACTTTGCGCCGGTGCAGGCAGCGATTGCAAGAAGAGGAAGAAGTGAAACATGGGCTACAGAGCTCCTCCTTTCCTAAGAGGGTCGCTCATACTGTCATGTCATTTGTTTCGTCAATGTTTAGCAGCAGTAGCGACAACAACCTAAGAGGATCCACTGCCGTCCAGCGATTTGAGCGGTTTGCTGATGGTGCCAGTGAGTTCTTGAGGTATGTGGAGCTTGGTGGCACACCATGCAGATACATGTTCTCTGTGCCTCTTATACGCCATCTTCTCGCTGGTAAAGGAACAAAGGGTTGCTTTGTTAGTGGGGGCCAAGATCTCTCACTTACTCTACAGCCCTTTAGTCTACCCAACCATGGGATGGGGCGAGCTTGGTATTCTTACCTGAAGATGGCAATATGCCAGAGAATAATTTCTTTCTTGCCCTCAGCTTACAGCTCTTTGAGAGTACTGACATAGTTGGGGTTGTAGTCAGATGCCTGCAGCTGTTCAAACCGTACTTGAGCTTCACAGCCGAGACTGTAAAGACAATGCTGACCCAGATGCCAATGCAAGACTTGTGTTTTTATGGCTGTGGTGAACAACAGAACAGTCTTCACACCATGTGTTCTAAATGGTTTCGACCAAACCCATTTTGCTGTCAATAACTAGAACATCTCCATGCCCAGAGCTCCTCTTCAAAATCATTGACATGTGATATATACATGGAACCAGTTATCCAAATGTATTTGCTAGGACATGTTGCACTGTCAGTTGGGAACAATTGGCAGAGCGTAGTCATCGATGGTGAAAGCCAAACAAGCCCCACGAGAGACTTTCCAAATCTGAAACTTGGAGCACACTTCTCGCCTCATGCCTCTTTTGATGATTTGTCACCTGCTGTTGGGGCTTCAGTGTCAGAGATAATCAACGATGAAGCCAAACATTGTGCCATGTATGCAAACATTTCCTTTGAACAGCTGGGCGAGATCACGATGCCAAAAGCAGTAGATTGGCTTAGTAGGAATCTCGAAGCTACCTCATATCAGATGTCCTGGAAGTCCAAGCATGGAAGCGCGTACCTTCGGGCGAGAAGACCTCATGGAGAGCAACTACTAGGAAGGACAAAGTTGGAAAACGCTGTAAGCAACGGCAGGACAAGAAGGTTCCAGCTCAGGGATGGACAGGTGCTAACAGTGGGTTCATTATTAGCTCGTGGGTTGCGCACTCGCCTGCCTAGTTGCAGGGCTCGATCGTTGACTATTGGATTCAGAAACAAAAGCGATCCACACTACCGTTGTTATTGGGAACTAATGCCTGCGTCCATGATTGTCCAATCACGATGTTGTATTTCAAAGATCACAGTTATTTGGCAAGGAAGCTCAAGATGTCAAGCACGTTAAACCCCTGAAGGATTTCCACTTGCTTGTACTACCTTGATGTACATAAAAAGTTCAACTGTTGGTGTGTGTTGCAAATATAATATATAGGGTTGACCTATTCCAAATTATAAGACATTTTAGAATTTCTAAATACATTGTTTTTACTATATATCTAGACATAGTGTATCATGACATTCCTTGGTCTTTTAACGCTCGTGGGCTACGTTTGTTCCTGATGTGTGGCCGGTTTCTCGTGGGGCCGATCCACACATGTAAGTAATGTGAGCATACATGACAAAGCGTATGGAGGGTTTCATGAGAGCCTATGCTGATCGTCTGATTCAAACATGGGAGAAGGATCTGCAAAGTATTGAAGTTGAGAGTATGAAGTTTATTCATAGTATGCTACTATAAAGTTTTTAATTATTAGTAAAAAGTTTTTTTTTAATTCAGCTACTAGCCGATGATCACCAGGGAAAATATAAGATATGCGTGCAAATGAGTAAATGGGCCTACAACACCTGGGTCAGATGTGTAAAAGCGTGATCCGCTTCCCGGCCTGCGCGCTAGTAACTGAAACAGCCAACGTCCATTGGTTTCTGTCTACGTGCGAGCGACCATGTCAACCGCTCCTCGTGGCATGGCAATGCTCTACAGTCTGGAAATGCAAACTCTAACAGGCGATGGTCGCATGGTTGCAACACCATGCGACCATCATGCCAGCGCCATCAGCGCCGCCACCGTCGAAGGCGAGTTAGGGTTTGGCCATTTTCCACAGCTCTAGATCTCTGGCGGCAGGTTGGCCTGGCGGTGGGTTGTGGTGGGTAGGCGGTGCTGCGAGATGGCGGAGCGCTACCGGCCTTGGTGGTAGAGGCGGCAGTTGGGGGGGACTGGTGCGGGGGAGTCTCGTCAGTGACCAGTTGATGGAGGCGGTGAGAGGTTGGGGTTGACTGGCTGGGGTGCAGCGAGGCGGCATGTCACTGGCGGCCGTGGGCAGTGGTGAGAGGCGGCAGAGGGCGGGGTCGCACACTCACGTGGGAGAGAGACCCGTTGTGCAATAACTCTGTCCTTCCGGAAATATCTCGCAGGTCTGGAAAGCCTCCATGCTCTTCGGTCTTCTCTTTTGAGTCTCCCTCACCCAAAAGGCAGCGCCGTGGTTGCTTCCTTCCTCCCTCCCATCTCTCATGGTCACGGTAGCTTCCACACATCGTCATGCCTTACCATTATAAATCGCACACCAGTGGTGGAGTCAGAGCTAATAGGAAGAGGGCGGCAAATGAAGGTCTAGATCATATATTCCTCAAATAAAGGACTACACTGCACTCACTACGAATCAATCTTCAATGGCATATGTATTATTTAGGACTCTTTTTGTTATATTTCTGATTTTCTTTGTTTCTACTATTATCATGATTTATTTCTAGTTCAAGAATTAGATTAATTGGATGAAGGCTAGAGACCTAAGGCAAATTAATTAATTTTGTTCCCCTTTTTTTGTTAAGTTTTTCAGCTGTCTTATGTATCATAACACAAATGTTTATTTAATTGTTGTCTATATTCTTTCCATGCATGCATTTCATTATGTATGATTATTGTTGTCGGCTTAAAGACCCTCCCTATGCCCAAATTGGGGCCCCGGCCCTGCTTGTCGTGGACTCGTGGTAACCTACCCGTGACACTGGTATCCATGCCGTCGGGTTCGGGTTCTGCTTTTTGCTCCAAGCTTTCCAGCCAAGATTTCTACGTTTAGTCACCGTCGACTTTGACTCCGGTTGGTCTTACGGATCAATAATTCTGGCCCATGTCTGACGCGTTCCTAGAGGTGTCTATATATCAATAAATTCTGGCGGTCTCCAAGATGTGATACATACGTCGACCTCAGTGCTTGTTGCCCTCTACTCCAAAGTCTTCAAAGTCTTCCTGTGTGCATATTCATCGCCACCAAGTGCGTGGTTGGCAGCGCAAACCTGTGTCGCCGGTGTCCTGGACGAGAAAGAAGGCAACCGAGAGCAACAGGAAAATTAATATTAGTCGAAGAGTGACGCATCAGTAGCCTGCGTATTCAAAAATTGAATTGTGTAATGTATGTGAATCACGTACTCTCCGGATCTCTACGTGGACCACCGGTGTCGTAGACGAAGTATGGATCGTCACTAGTGGAGCCTGGGAAGGTGCTGTCGCTGTTCCGACGCTGCCCCGGACCATCACCACCTTAGCCATGGCATCAGCAATGGTGATCCGCGGAGAAATTTGTCTCAGCGGAAGCGGCCCACGCCATGGTTTGCCCGTATCCCACCTCTGGCCAACGATGACATCACTGACCGTCTGCTGTGCACCTGCAAAACCCGTCACACGACTTACCTCGTGGTTTGGAACTTAGACTTCAGATCATTTAGCAAGGCCAAAACTGCATCCTGGGAGGAGCTCGGCACAATTATGTCATCAACCTCTGTACATCATCACTTACAGTTAGCTGGTATGCACTCTATGCCAACCTCAGAGTTTAATTTTACCCTCTACACAAAAGTCCTGCGTCCATATCACTCTTGACAAATTTCTGCGATGTCCCTCTCACATGTAAAGTACCTCTTTTTTTTTTTGCGAGGAAATACCTCTCTATATGTATGATCACAATTCACAACTGCCTGGCTGAGCAGGATAGACTGTCGAGTGTCATAGTGCTGGTACGACTTTCTGTGACACTACAGCTAGTTCAAGTGTTCAACTATGCCAGGTTTTGATTTCCTCTCCGCACTTGCACTTTACAAGATCGAATATAGATTTTCATCTGATGAGCAGGGACAATCTGGCTCATATATGTACTGAATAATTTTCTTCCTTTCTCTGCATACAGGACAACTGATTCTAAAGCAGGTTTGTTTGATCAGTCTTAATGGCAGCAGAGATGGTCAGTTCTGCAGTGGCCCAGGAGGCTGTTAACCAAGTCTTATCAAGACTCAAGGAGGGTTATCAGGAGAAGTCAGATGCAAAGGAGAGCATTGAGAGGATGGAGATGGCACACATTAAGATGGAAGTCGCCCTTGAGACCTCCAACAAGTGGAACGTCGCCAGCGTGCCACTGCTGCGTTGGCGGAGCAAGCTCAAGCGCGCCTCACAGGAGTGTGACAACACTCAGCGCAGGTGTAGGCAGCGCTTGCAAGAAGAGGAAGAAGTACAGCAAGCGGTAAGGAGCTCCTCCTCCTTTCCGAAGAGGATTGTTCATACTGCCATGTCATTTGTTTCATTAATCTTTAGTCACAGTAACGATGATGGGCTGAAAGGATCCACTGTCGCCCGGCGATTCGAACGGTTTGCAGAAGGTGCGAGCGAATTCTTGAGATACGTGGAGCTTGGTGGAACACCACGCAGATACATGTTTTCCGACCCTCTTATACGCCATCTTATCGCTGGCAAAGGAACAAAGTATTGCTATGTTAGCAATGGTCAACATCTCTCATTTCTTCTACTACCCCGTAGTCCACTACAAGAGCATGGGACCGAGGTTGGCCTAATATTGTTTTTTTTTAACGAAGCTGGAGGGGTTTGCACCCCTATAGCATTTATTGACAAAGAACATGTCGACACGGAATTTTCGTCCCGTGCCGATGGCACACGAGCAAGCCGGAAGGGTCCGCTCGACGGAGCTGGAGATCCGCCTAGCTTCAGCGCATGGATGGTCGATCATGCGCACTCCTCCCGAGACATATCAGTCAATTTGACCCTGCAATTGACAAGGAGAGAAAGTTTATCAGTAATTAAGGGCGGAACGTGACGATGTTGCCAGACAGTCCCGAATGTGCGGCTCTGAGAGCCGATATGAAAGGAGATCGACTAAATAGTCGATTCCAGCATATTCATAAATGTAAATCGGTTAAAGCTCATGGAGTTGTGTAAGAAGAATCGGTTATCATTCAGGATGAATATCATTCTTAGATAAATATTGGTCAATGGCAATAAGATGCCAACAGTAATTAGTTTATGCTAACCCAATGACTGCAAGTAACCGAATACCTTTTTAGGAAAGAAACAGCTCATCATCATTCAACCATTTAATAAAGATAAATCTAATCAACATATTAGATCTTATCTATCGCTATGACCAGTGGGGCATGAGGCAGAATCATGCAGGTCATAGAAACGACAATAGACTCGATGACCCTAACTTATTACTAATATCAGTGGAGCATGAGACATAATCATGCATGCCGTAATACAATAATAAGATCATGGGGCTAACACATCTTTTAACCTATCTTTACTTCAACGATCTCGTAATGTGAACTGTTCATGAAAGCACTCGATATCGGCTAAAACAACCGATTCAAGCATAGCGCACGGTTAAGATCATATCCTCTCAAAAATAGATGTACCAAATAACGATCCCCACTCCACGGTGCTAACAGTGGGGTGAGGCAGAATCACACAGGCCGTGATAACGGGCCATGGAACGATTTTCGCTAGCCAATAGATCTACTTAAGATCAAACACGTCTTAACCGCACGCTATGCACGATTAAGATTGATATAGAACAGTCGATAAAACATAACTCATCGTTTAAAGTGCAGATTATATCAAATTTAGATTAACAAACGATGGGTTAAACAAGATATAAGGCCGATCTAAATCAATTCCAATCGGGTGAAGTGATATTGCTGTAATTAAATAGATAATGGAAGCAATAAGCAATATCGGTAACTTAATGAATCTATCCGAAGGAACGCCACCCTTAGATATAGCCGATAACTTGACCTTAATCTAGTTCGAGCAGTGGAGGTCAACCGGATCGATGCAGCCGTACTTGAACTAGACAAGAGTCGATAACTAACTTATACCAGAGTCGTAGTGGAGGTCGACCGGATCGATGCAGCTGTACGAACAGAGATATAAGTCATGATGGTACTTACAGACAAGCAGTGGAGGTCGACCAGATCGATGCAGCCGTACTTGCTGAAGAACTCACCGAGATATACTCTACTCCTACTCCTAAGGGGTGGCCGGAGCCAAAAAAAGTAAGTAACTTG